TATATTTTTTTTTTTGCTTCAATAATCTATTATTATTATTATTAATAGAGTTATTTTTCCAAGCTTTAAATTGCATAAATTTTATTTTTTTAATTATGTATTTTAATAAAATTTTCCTTGCTCGTATAATTTGAAAATGAACAATTTTAAATTTTTTTGTATAAAATCTCCCTCATAAGAAATAAATATGAAATTTTAACGTAAGAAATCAACGAAATCAATCCGTTGGAACATTCAATCTTTAATGTCTTTTTGGTAATTTTATCTATAAAAAGGAATTTGCAGTTTCACGAAGTTTGTTGCGTTGTGATATATACTCTCTATGAATGATCATGATATGATCATAACGAGAAGGGATGAGAGAAGTCAACATGGCATGTTGATGTTGAGATTAAATTGCAGATCAAATTATTTTCTTTCCAATGTCGTAAAACCTTTCTGCTTCGATAGCCCTCCGTTCTTTCTCTTGCTAGTCTTTTAACTTGTGCTTGATTTCCTCTGCTATCTTCTTCCATATTGAAACAACCAACAGAAATTAAAAAATAATTTTTATAATTAAAAAAAAAAAAAAAAAACAAAAAAAGGTTATATTTTTTTTTGTCATAAAGACAAAAAAAAATGCATTATTGTCATTATATCTATTATACTGAGGTAAAATCGTCATCAAGAACTATTACCTTTTCGACCAATGAAAGAGATATTAGCAAATTACTTTTTTGATCAATTATCTTAGCAAACACAATAAACCATTACTTTTTCGGTCAACAAGACTATTAATTTCTTTGATAATAAAGAACTATTACTTTTCCGATTAATTAATGATCTTAGCAACAAACAAAACCATTACTTTTTATGTTTTTATTTTTCCTTTTTCCATATATCTAAATCTTTTTTTCAATTAATAAGAAAAAAAACATCACCTTGGTCCTGATCTTTTATTTATTATATAAAAATAAACATATTGTTCAAGTAACAATGAAACTCTAATCAAAAATCATTTCTAAAAAAAAAATTCTCTCTTCTTTTAACATATACATAGTCAACCCCGTTGAACCGAAGGCGTTTGTGCAATCACTTTTTTTCATATTTGGATTAATGGAGTACCCAAAAACCTGAATATCAGAAAAAATCTAGGTTTAACAGGGTCTACAATATAGTACTTTCAGCATGTCGTAGAATAACCAATATTAAGCTAGCCTTTTGTTTTAATAGTCGTTTGAAAGTTTTAGCTTGGATTTACATTTTATTTTTTAGTGGAAAACGGGAAGTGATGTTACACGTGAATTTACATTTTGACCCCCTGAAATTAAGCAATGTCCACTGGTTTTTGTAAATTCAAATTCGTATAACCAATCATTTTTATTTTTATATCATTATTAATCAATCTACTGTTTTCCAATGAATCCTCTCTCTCATACTGATAGAGGTTCTATATGTAAAGCTATATTTATTCAAAAACAGCATTACTTTTCACTTTAAAACTAAAAATTTTCTCCAACATTACCTTTATAAACATTGATGAGTGGTTGAGAAGATGTAAATATTATAAGCCTTCTTCATATGGGTATATTGAAAATGGCAAAAAGCAAAAGAATAATTGATAAATTTATCAATCGATACACAGTGAATCTCGGTTTATCGGATCTCGATTTAGTGGATACTAATACTAATAAAAAATCTCGGTTTAAAGAATGAAGTACACAAATAGGAAAAAATATGGGCAAGATTATCAGTGGTAATGATAATTAATTTCCAAATTTGGTTGATAAACTTTAACACCAAGATTTTTCTCTGGAAAATATGGCTGAACTAAAAATTAAGGTTTGTGGCTAATAAAAATTTCGACGGCAAAAGACTTTGAAAATCGTTGAGTGACGAATCGTTTGACTGATATGTATTAGTATTAGTATGATACGTATCTATGCGTATCTCCCCGGACAATTAAGTGGCTTGGCGATCATATTCTATAAACTACATAATCTACGGATTAACTACTATATATATTGATATTGCGTGACAATGAATGGTGATGATGATCTTTCTATATATGCATCAATTCAAAGGGAAGGGAAAATTAAATGATCATATTCTATAAACTACATAATCTACGGATTAACTACTATATATATTGATATTGCGTGACAATGAATGGTGATGATGATCTTTCTATATATGCATCAATTCAAAGGGAAGGGAAAATTAAATGAACAAATTAATATTAAAAAATCTTGGCCTGATTAATTTATATAACTGAATTAGGTAAAATATAAATAAACTTTTTGACAATCTTTCCATATTTTACATTTTGTGATCTAATCTTAATATAATATATTTTATATATAATATTAAAAACTTTTATTTTTCTCAAAAAATTTTTTTTAAAACTTCTTTTTTACAATTTTATAGCTTTTTTAAAAACTCGAGATCAGTTAAATTTTTTTTCTTTTACATATTAATGATAGTACTTAAATAATTAAATTTTATAAACACATTTCAATCCTACTCCTCTTTCTACTTACTATTTTCGTACAAGTTATTCTTAATAAATACAAAAAAAGATTAATTTTTAAATTGATCGGTTTCACATAAAATATATTAGTTTACTACTCTTTCTCTTTATAAATATTGTTCTTCATTAAGCAAGACTTTAAAATTATTCTTTTTCTTTAACGAAGGAGAAAGAAAGAAAAGGTAATTTGTTGTTCGTCTCTTTTCTTCTATACGAAAATCATATCGTCATCATCATGTACGTTATATATAAAGATTTACTAATTGGATTTCTTCTTTTATTCAAAAAAATTTTTTTTGTAGTTTTCATCGACAAAAAAAAATACGAAAATAATCAAGATTTATTTATTATTTATTTATATTATATAAATACATAAAATAATCATGACTGATAATATTATTACTTCTCAAGAAACTTCTTCAACTTCTTCACAACAACAAATTATTGAAAATTCCATGAATAATAATGGTGATAATAATATTATTGATGATGATGATAATGATACAATTGCTTCTACCGGGTCAAACAACAACAACAACAATACAGCAAATAATGAACAAGGTGCTACGACCAAAATCACAACAAATCATGATGATAATTCAAAATCATCGGCGAAAGCCACATCTGATAATTCTACAACAACGCCTTCTTCAACGTCCAATACCACTAATTTACAATCATCATCGACAATAAAGTATATTACTTTATTTACTTTTCTTTTTTTTTAAAAAAAAAAAGAATCCTTGCTTAATTTTTTTATTTTATTACAATATATATATATATATATATATATATGTATGTATGTTAATAGTGTTAAAACAGAAGCAAATTCTGAATCATGGAACAATGCATCATCGTCATCATCATCATCACAATATACATTTGGTCAACCAAAAGGTTTTGATGAACGTTCATTAGATCCTGCTCTCTTCTCAGCCGATTCCTCCATGAAATTAGCAACTGCTGCTGCTAACACCACTTCTACTGCTACACCACCACCACCTACTGCTACACCTTCTTCTACAAACGATAACACAACTAACGCCACAACCGCAGCCACCTCTGTACCTACTCCAATTGCGACTCCCAATGCTCCTATAAATTATTATAATCAAGCACCAATCACTTTTGATAATAGGAATGGTGCAACAGGTTTTGTTTTAACAACACCTCCAACACCACAAGATTATCCTTCAATGACTTTTACTGGCCGATTTACAAATGGTATAGCTGTCATTCCATCACCAAGTTTCAATATTTCACCAAATAACAAACAACAACAGCAACAATCACCATCAAGACAAATTACTTCACCTCAAGAAATGATGACAACTTTCAGTTCAAGAACTGTTTCTTCGACTCCTAAAAGGTATAAATGTACTGTTTGTCAAAAAAGATTTACACGGCCAAGCTCCTTACAAACTCATATGTATAGTCATACCGGTGAAAAGCGTAAGTAGATTGATTGATTGATTGACTATGTTTATGTATTTATTTATATTTGAAATCATTATATTAATTGTTTTATTTTACTTTTGGTAAAATACATAAAATATATTACAGCATTTAAATGTCCAGTAGATGGTTGTGGTCGTCATTTTTCTGTCGTTAGTAACCTTCGTCGTCATCAAAAAATTCATGCAAATAATAATAATAATAATAATAATAATAACAACAACAACAATAATAATAATGTGACATCATCATCCACTTAAAAAATATATATACTGTATGTATTATTTTTTTTTTAGATTAAAATTATATATATTAAATAAAAATAATTTTTAAATAATAATAATAATAAATTTTATACTAATTATCAAAAAAAGAGAATTAAATAGACGTAAGAATAAAAATAAATCCCCCATTGTTGTTGTTATTGTTAAAAATCAAGTCTCTTGACTCCAAATAAATTTACAATGCAATCATAATTTAAAAAAAAATGTTTTATTTATCATCTTGAACAAAGTTTTTACCATGCAAAAAAGACCATACACATTATTTCAGTTGGCAGAATTTATATATTAGAATTATTCTGCTATACTCGCAGTTTGATATACTTTGGATGGTCTTTTCAGATAATCGACTCGACCTTGGAGGACCTTTTCAGTAAACAAAGCTTGAATCTTCAAATGCGGTTCTTTGTTGTCTGATTGAGAAAAATGTCTTTTTATAAGTGTTTCTTTTTTGTATAAATTTTACTTGCAGAAATACACTTAAATGATAATTGGATCATTCCCATATAAAAGTATAAATATGAAACTAATTTACATAAGATCTCAAATTACAGTGCAATCAGAAGCATTTTGAAAAAGGAACAAGGTGAAAAATCTTATCTTTTCTTTGGAAATATGATAAATAATAACAATAGCTATAACACTAATCATAATTAAATAGACTTGCTATCAACTTTCTCTTCTCTCCTTGTATATGTTGTATGTTTTAAAGTATGGTCCTTATGCTGCTTTTCAAAATCTTTATCTTTGAGATATTTTGTTAATAATCTTCTTGGTAATTATAATAGAACTCAATATTTTACTTAACATATATATAATTAATAGAATAATAAAACAACAACACTCACATTTTGTCATCTGTCAAACAATAGATTGTTTTCCAAAGAAAAAAAAATCAATTCGCGTCCATACATGATGGCGATGCAAAAAAGACCATACACATTATTTCAGTTGGCAGAATTTATATATTAGAATTATTCTGCTATACTCGCAGTTTGATATACTTTGGATGGTCTTTTCAGATAATCGACTCGACCTTGGAGGACCTTTTCAGTAAACAAAGCTTGAATCTTCAAATGCGGTTCTTTGTTGTCTGATTGAGAAAAATGTCTTTTTATAAGTGTTTCTTTTTTGTATAAATTTTACTTGCAGAAATACACTTAAATGATAATTGGATCATTCCCATATAAAAGTATAAATATGAAACTAATTTACATAAGATCTCAAATTACAGTGCAATCAGAAGCATTTTGAAAAAGGAACAAGGTGAAAAATCTTATCTTTTCTTTGGAAATATGATAAATAATAACAATAGCTATAACACTAATCATAATTAAATAGACTTGCTATCAACTTTCTCTTCTCTCCTTGTATATGTTGTATGTTTTAAAGTATGGTCCTTATGCTGCTTTTCAAAATCTTTATCTTTGAGATATTTTGTTAATAATCTTCTTGGTAATTATAATAGAACTCAATATTTTACTTAACATATATATAATTAATAGAATAATAAAACAACAACACTCACATTTTGTCATCTGTCAAACAATAGATTGTTTTCCAAAGAAAAAAAAATCAATTCGCGTCCATACATGATGGCGAAATAGTTTTGTTTCGACAATAATTTCGACTATTAAGGTTCAAAAATCAAAATCGAAATTCGAAATCAAAATCGAAATTCGAAACCAAAATCGAAATTTGTAATCAAAATTCGAAATTTGAAATTAATAAATAACTTTTTTCATTTTTGCATTAATCATACATGATGGCAAAATAGTTTTGTTTCGACAATAATTTCGACAATTAGGGTTCAAACATTTCGAATATACCCTAACAGGTTTCGAAAAAATCAAAATTCGAAATTAATAAATAACTTTTTTTCATTTTTGCATTAATGTCTTTAAAGTGCTTTTATTTCAATTTTTTGAATTTCGATTTTGATTTTGAATTTAGTATAGATTACAAATTTCGATTTCGATTTTGAATTTCGATTTCGATTTTTAATTTAGATTTTGAATTTAATTTCGCCAAGGGTATTTCGATTTCGAAAACTTGTGTGATTTTTTCGAAAGTTTCGAATTTTATCAAATGACTTTCGCAATCATGTATGACGTTTTTGAACCCAGTCTCGTGACCAGAAAATATCACTAACACGTTTGTGACAAGCCTTTGAAGATCCGAGGTAAAGGTTCCATGACAAGACCATCAGTTTTTGGTCATTTTGAACGGTCCGAAACGTTGGAGCAAGACGAAGACCTAACGGTAGACAGCGGTCGACACCACGCAAAAAACATCTAAAGCGAAACACGATTTCCTTTTGGTTAAATATCTGTTTCGCTCAACCCTGACGTTTTGAACCAAAACAGATAAGTTTTTCAGTTTCACAAATCATGACAAACAGATAACAATTGGGATACACACGATACGTGACGTAAAATAACCACAACCATTTATCATTTTTTTGGAAAACGGAAATATTTCTGTTCAAATTTCAATTTTATTAATTAACAAATTTAACAAATTTCAAATCAATTTTGCAAATCATTTCAAGCCAGCGCAGCAAAGAAAAAAAAAACGACTCATCACAAAGTTTTACCCTTTGATTTTGATCTCATCTTTCCCCAAAAATTCAGTTTAATAAAGTTGAGAAACAGGACGTTTAGAAGTTACAGTTACAGTTACGGGTAACAGTTTAAGTTACAGTAACTGTAACTGCTGTAACTCCTTACAACGAAACATTTCCCGGTAAAGTCGTTAGATTAGGGAAACATACAAAAAAAAGGGAAAATATTACACAAAATATAAAAAATCTACACAAAAATTGCAACATTTAGTAAGACACCGTAACACGACAACCTTTTCTTCTTTTATATATGTTAATGTTAATGTTAATGTTAATAATTATATATGTTAATTAATAAAAAAAATGTCAACAAAACCTTTAGCCAATAAGGCTATAACCTCTGCTCTATCATATTGCTTGCAAGAGTTATTAGCTCAAGAATTAAGCGGAATAAATAAAAAAAGAAGAAAACATTTATTGTCAAGAAAAATAGAAGCTGAAGAAAGAAAAGCTGTTGAAGATGTCGAAAAAATACAAAATGTTGATGATAAAGTAATTTTATCTATGTTTGTTGATGACAAAGTAATCAAGATGACATTATATGGTACACTTATTCACATATACATAAGAAATATATATAATATTTAATGCTTATGATATGACATTTACATAATTTATTAAAGGGCTTTTAATTAATGGTCCATTAAATCACTATGTTTTCATGGTTCTCGACAAATTATTCAATAGAATTAGTAAAGGAGCAACAGCCAAAATTCTACAAGTCATCACTTTTCAATTAATTTTTACACCAATTCATCATATTGGTAATTATATGCAATCTATCTGTCTATCTATCAATAACATAACATCATAATAATGATATTTACTATTTATTTATTTTATTATAGCAATGGCTATAATTGGTGGTTCACGAGATTTAAATCAAATAATATCTAATTTTAAAAAATCTATTTTGAAACTTGAATTAACCGCTTGCGCTGCTTCACTTGTCACCTTAATTTTTGCTCAAAGTTTTCTAGATCCTCGATTCTGGGCATCTTTCTTTAACCTTTCTGGGTAAGTTTTTGGGATTAAAGAACTGGAATATTTATTTTCTCTAATGTGTGTGTATATATATATATATATTCAAATATTTACTATTCTCTAATTCATAAAAATATAGTTTTACTTTTGGTCTTATTGCAAATGTAAAAGCCAAAAACAACCGATTGAAAAAAATAGAACTACATTAAGATTATTTATAATATATCTTATATACATGGAATATGCAAGTAATTTCGTACACAGCAACTAAATCAAATATAAAATATTTAATTCCAATTTATTAATTTATATACTTCAAATTCTTCCATCTCTTGAAATTTTCTTTGAATCTTATTAATGGAACAATGTCTTCTATTATAATTTCAATTCTTTAAAATCACTCTTGTCCCACTCTGAAATATGTTTTTTTTTCAATGTTTCATTTTGTCCTATTCCCATTGAGTAATAAAATCCAAGTATCTATTTCATTCAATGCCAAATGATCACTTTCTAATATAGATATGACCATGGGTTTTTCAATGGATTGAAAAATATAAGCTTTTAAAAATGATCCTAGATAATCGGAAATTATTTGGTTAAAATATTCCTGAAGCAAATTGAATGATTGATGCTCTGATGAAACATAATTAGTATGAATTAAATCCTGCCGAGTCCATTTTTTATTATTATTATATGTATTCATTCATCATTCAATTGTAAATACATCTTTAATAATAATAATAATTTTAAATCATTGTATTAGATATTTTATTTATAATTGTTATAATTTAACATATTCAGTTAAACAATCCTTACATTAAAAGAACTTCAAATACTTTTCGAGTAATGTTTTCTTTTTCAAATAAAATGACACCATCTTTAAAATTTTTTAACCCAATTATTTGAAAAACAGTTTTAAAATACAAGTATATTGCTTTTAAAATGGTGGAATGAGCTTTAAAACTTTTAACATCCTGGTCTTCTCCAACTTTAATCTACATATAAGAATCAGATTCATTTAACAGTTTAGATAAATATTTTTTTTTACATGTATTTTAATAGTAAAGCATCTTTCTTTATTGGAATCAAAAGGGTTGTTTAGTAATGTGTTTACATTTTTTAATGATGAAAATTAGTTGTTGACATACTTGATTAAAAAAGAAATTTTTTCCTTTATTGCGGCTGTCCATTTACTGACGTGTAACCTTTTTTATATCTCGACCAATAAAGGTTCGTGTTACAATATGACACTGATTTTATTGGTGAATTGGTGAATCAAGAAAACACAAACATATACTTATCTACTTGTAAAAGTTTCCAAGAAAAAAAAAATCATAGGTTTTGATGTAAATGTATGATTTTTTTTTAAATATAACATTGAAGATAATAACGTATTCATATTATTATTTTTTTGGCAACAAAAATTTTTTCTTTCACAAGAGCAACTTACAAATAATCATTCTTGATAGAACAACTTTTCGACAACCGGTTTTACGAGCACGAGGTTCAAAGATCGAGAATTGACAATAAATAAATTCAAGATAACAAGATCAGAAAAAACTTACTTTGATACAATTTGGCAGGGATCCAATTATAGTTGGATCTCGTCTCTCTAACTGAGATACACTGTAACGTTAGAAAAAACTAAGTTTTGGCATGTCCATTTATGATCGAAGTATTTTAATGAATGAACAGAGAAAAAAAATCAACATCTTGTCTAAAAATTATTCTATATATTAATAGAGAAAGATTACATTAGCACTATCGTGTGAATCATATAGATAGAATTGGGCTTCCTCAAAGGTACTGGTATTTAAATAGTAGCAATAAAGCATTTTCATTGTTGTAAATCCATCTAACAACAACGATGCACAAAAAACTTTATTGATCAGTTTCTCACATTTCCTCCATTCATCTATTGCAACACCAATGAAATCCTAGAAGGCTAAAAAAAATCCTATCGAGGATTATTAATCATTCAAAAGAAGCATAAACCTATTATTATTACTATAGGTAAAAACGTATTGGAAAAAAAAACTGGGAGGGCGAGTTACTTTCTAGTATTAAAAAAATTTGCATCTCAAACGTGAAGTAGGTAGGAATAGTGTCGAAAAGGAATAGTTTATCGATGTTATATATAAAAAGCTTATTTTGGAAAAGAAAGAGAAATTATAGGTGGCGACTCCCGCTTCACGTCCAACTATTACATAGCTGCTTTATCTGCTTTAACTCCATCCTTAATTCCACGAAATTGCTAGATTTTAATAATAGAACGTAACGAGCATACAGAATTAGAAAAAAGGGACACTCAGATAGTGATGAAACATGGATGTTTGATTCCTTCATAAAGAATTGTGCTAGGAAGATTTAACAAATGCCCTTCCTTTTAATCTATTTTCAATAGTTCTTAGTACAAAAGAACGAAAACTTTTATGAATAATTGGCCAATTTGCAAATATTATATAGTGATATCATCGGCTAAAGCTCGCCAAGCTATATTATATGGTAATTCGAGAGGAAACATGACCAATTAGAAGATTCGACAAAGCCAGAAAACTAAAGATTGATCATAAATCACTAATCCTTGAATAGATTCCAGTCTAGCATATAATGAATTGTAATCTGTTTTCCTTATAAACAATAAGGATACCGGCTGCAACTTTTGATGATGGTTGCTACCATCTTTGCGTCATATAAAAACGATTGCAACCACCTTTACAACCATTTTGTTTCCTTTTTTGGATTGCGACATGGAACACTAATAAACAATAAAAATTTATTTACATTTCTTAACAACTTTCTATTCGGATCTAATCATACAATACAATATTAATATTAATTGAAACGCGATAATGAACTTGTTTATTTAATATATAAATTATTTTCACTTAAATTTTTTACTATGCTATACACCACTAATTCTTCCAACGGATGAATTATTTTACGACCATTCTCAAGACAAAAGTGATAAAAAAAAATAATAACGATAAGGTTCATTATTAATACTATTATTATCATGCCATAAAATTTCATATCTCCTCCAGTAAAATTAACGTTTTTACTACAATAACTTACAACATCTTCTTTATTAGGTCTTTTGAATCTACTGATTTTCACCAGTTTTTGAAAGTAAACATTTATCTGTCAACTCTTATTAGGCCTTTTGAATCTGCTTATTTTCACCAGCTTTGAAAGTAAACATTTATTATAGTCTGTCAACCCTTATTAGGCGACTTTCTTTTTTATTCCAACAAAGTGG